TGGAGTTCTACTAGAAACAAAGAGCTTTTTAACTAAGTGAAAAGAAAAATAATGACAATACAGACACAATTACAAGAAATTTGAAGTTAGTGGCATCAGCACTAGATTCTGCAAAGCACCAAGGTTTAAATATGGTTTATTTGAAGAGACAGGAGTGCTCCTGATGCCACTGGGAGCCCAGAGATGACAGATTAACACTCTGCTTAAATATCTGAATTAGGGGCTGAACCATGTGTGAGGTCAGAGCCAGACAGAGAGGAACATTCCGTGGGGCCTTTGGAAGAGGTTTGATACTTCTCCTAAAAGCAGAGACTAAAGGCACAAGTGCTTCCTCAGGCAATATATCCTGACAGATTCTCAGGCTCACACAATGCTGCGGTGGGGAGAACTTTTCTCCCCAGAACAGCAAAATCTAGATTGCTTTAGTCTTTATTTTATTTAGCAGCTGCAACAGCTTTGCGAGAACTTCCAGAAAGGCAGTTTTGCTCCTCAGGTTCACTGAGACGTGGAGGACCCACTGCCAGCTCAGCAGCTCAGGAGTTTCCACCTCTCCTCTGCCAGCCACTGCTGGCAGCAGCTCCAGCGAGAGCCCCGATGCCACCAGATGGGGCTGTGAGTCTGAGCAGAGCAGGAATTAACACAATTAATGCGACCTGAGCAAGGCTTTAAGATGCAGGAGGGCCAAAGAGCAACATTTTCGTCAATAATACGGACTAAAAAAATCCCCAAAACTCCATAAATCAATCTAACAGCAGCACTGCTGCTGCTTGTATTCAGCGAGATACATCCAGAGATATAACCATGGGATGGGTTTACAGGTCCCAAATTGAACTGATTTAGGCTCTTTACACTTCAAACACAACTTTGGGCTTGCAAGAACACAGATTTCAGATTAGTCGTTGCTATAACCACAGTCGCAGGAATGAATTTCTTACATTCTTCTTCCAAGCGTACACAAAAATTTCCAAAGCCAAAGGCTGTCTCGAAATGTACTATTTTATCTGGCACAACATGAAATTAGTCTGCTAATTTTAAAAAAAAATCACAGGGGTGGGTGGGTTGTTTTTTTTTGAGACAGCAAAGTCCAGGACTGTGACCAGGAGGCAGTACAAAGTCCACTCTTCCAGATGCCAGCAGAGGTGTCTTTTACCAGCTCTGGGGACACTGTGGTGCCCTCCTGACACCTCTCCTGACCCACAACAGTGCTTTGACCTGAAATTGATCGCTGAGTTTTAATAGGAATATGCAGACCAGGCCCTGACAAACACCAAGTGCAGCATTTTGCTTTGGGACAGGTTGCAGAGGCCACGTCCCAAGTCAGCCCCTTGACACTTCATGGTGTGCAGAAACGTATCAGAAAGCAGTAGGAATTGTTTGTACAGGGAGAGAAGATCAAGTGGGAGATTCCCACTGTGTTTCCACACTCAGATCTCTCCAGCAGCATGTCCCAGGCACGGCCAGAGCCCTCAGAGAGGCAGGAATAGGCACAGGGTGCCAATGCTGACCAAGCAGATGACCAGAGGGGCTGTCAGGTGGTGAGTTTGACCTGATGGTTGATAATGTTTGGAGGAAGCTCAGGGAAAAGAGCCATTCATTACATAAAGAAAACAGTACTAAATATCTCACGCCTGAGAGGGGAGGGTTGAACACCGTGTGTGCTGTTTGCTATTTGTGTAAAATAATCGTGGGGTGGGATGGGGGCAGGATGCAAGGAGGACAGAATACTTTGGGCTGGAAGGACCTTAAAGATCATCTTGTTCCAGCCCCTTCCACTAGCCTAAGGTTGCTCCAAGCAACCTCAGGCTGGTGGAACTAGGTAACCTGTGCCAGTGCCTCGTGGGGAAAAATTTCCTCCAGCATCCCCTCTAACCCTGCCCTGTGCCAGTGCACAGCTATTCCCCCCTGTCCTGCTCCTCCACAGAATCACAGAATCAGTCTGGTTGGAAGAGACCTCAAAGACCATCGAGTCCAACCCTACTGTGGTCACTAGGCCATGGCACTAAGTGCCACATCCAGTCTCGTCTTAAAAACCTCCAGGGATGGTGAATCCACCACCTCCCTGGGCAGCACATTCCAATGCCTGAGCACTCTCTCTGTAAAAAATCTCTTCCTAATACCCAACCTAACCCTCCCCTGGCAGAGCTTGAGTCTGTGCCCCCTTGTCCTCCTGCTAGCCCTTCACAAACTCCTCTCCAGGCACTTCAGGTCCACCTGCAAGTACTGGATCATGATGGCACCGAGGTGTGCCCGGAGCCTCCTCTCTCCCCGCGACTGAGCAATCC